TGAGATCTGAGAAGCTCTGCAGTGTGTGAGATCTGAGAAGCTCTGTGTGTAAGATCTGAGAAGCTCTGCAGTGCGTGAGGTCTGAGAAGCTCTGTGCGTGAGATCTGAGAAGCTCTGCAGTGCATGAGATCTGAGAAGCTGTGCAGTGCGTGAGATCTGAGAAGCTCTGCAGTGCATGAGATCTGAGAAGCTCTGCGCTGCGTGAGGTCTGAGAAGCTCTGTGCGTGAGATCTGAGAAGCTCTGCAGTGCGTGAGATCTGAGAAGCTCTGCAGTGCGTGAGATCTGAGAAGCTCTGTGTGTGAGATCTGAGAAGCTCTGCAGTGCATGAGATCTGAGAAGCTCTGCAGTGCGTGAGATCTGAGAAGCTCTGCGTGAGATCTGAGAAGCTCTGCAGTGCGTGAGATCTGAGAAGCTGTGCAGTGCATGAGATCTGAGAAGCTCTGCAGTGCGTGAGATCTGAGAAGCTCTGCAGTGCGTGAGATCTGAGAAGCTCTGCAGTGCGTGAGATCTGAGAAGCTCTGTGTGTGAGATCTGAGAAGCTGTGCAGTGCGTGAGATCTGAGAAGCTGTGCAGTGCATGAGATCTGAGAAGCTCTGCAGTTCGTGAGATCTGAGAAGCTCTGCTTGAGATCTGAGAAGCTCTGCGTGAGATCTGAGAAGCTCTACAGTGCGTGAGATCTGAGAAGCTCTACAGTGCGTGATGTCTGAGAAGCTCATTGTGAGAGATCTGAAGCTCTGTGTGTGAATCTGAGAAGCTGTGCAGTGTGAGATCTGAGAAGCTCTGCAGTCGCGTGAGATCTGAGAAGCTCTGCAGGTGCGTGTGATCTGAGAAACTCTGCGGCGTGAGATCTGAAGCTTCTGCAGTGCGTGAGATATGAAACTCTGCAGTGGCGTGAAGATCTGAAACTCTGCAGTCGCGTGAGATCTGAGAAGCTCTGCTAGCGTGAGATCTGAAGCTCTGCGTGCGTGAGATATGAGAAACTCTGCAGTGGCATTGAGATATGAGAAGCTCTGCAGTGCGTGGATCTGAAAACTCTGCAGTGCGTGGTCGAAGCTCTGCAGTGCATAGAGAGCTGAAAGCTCTGCAGTGCGTGAGATCTGAGAAGCTCTGCAGTGCGTGAGAGCTGAGAAGCTCTGCGTGAGATCTGAGAAGCTCTGCAGTGCGTGAGATCTGAGAAGCTCTGCAGTGCGTGAGATCTGAGAAGCTCTGCAGTGCGTGAGATCTGAGAAGCTCTGCAGTGCGTGAGAGCTGAGAAGCTCTCTGTGTGAGATCTGAGAAGCTCTGCAGTGCGTGAGATCTGAGAAGCTCTACAGTGCATGAGAGCTGAGAAGCTCCGCGTGAGATCTGAGAAGCTCTGCAGTGCGTGAGATCTGAGAAGCTCTGCAGTGCGTGAGATCTGAGAAGCTGTGCAGTGCGTGAGATATGAGAAGCTCTGCAGTGCGTGAGATATGAGAAGCTCTGCAGTGCGTGAGATATGAGAAGCTCTGCAGTGCGTGAG